AAGTGATGGGAAATGGAGTTTTCTGCATAGTTATTAAGACTGCAAAGGAAATAAAATACATCTTACAACTCCTGCACCACTTCCACCAGAACAGACTTTGTGGGGTACTAGAAGCTCGGCAAGGTCAGAAGGAAATAGTGTGGACAAGGACAGCAGTGCAGTTTTCCCACAGTAGCTGGGCTTGGCTAAAACATTTTGGGCCTGCCCAGACATCTGATGGTGGCACTGACGAGGATGGAGTTGCTGCAAGCCTCCCCCAGCTCCCCGCAGAGTATCTATGAAGCATTCCTCACGGATCACTCCAGGACACCCTCCCACTGAGGCACTGCTGATTCCCACCCGATGGTGATGAAAAGCACTTCCAAGCTGGAAGGGCCCACCTGCCTTACTGGAGCAGGCTCTTCAGGGCCCACAGTGACATTCCTGCTGTGTGACCAGGCTTTGCAGTAGCCAAAAGAGGGAGGAAGTCCTTGTGAGAAGGGCCGGAAGAAGCCTCCTGAGTGTGTTGTGAGGTAGTTCTCTTTGGCCTGTCTCACATGGGCTGTGAATCACAGAGAGGCAGTGCTGTCCCAGCAGTGACACTCGCTGATGCCATCAGGTCTGTGCTGGGTGGTTGGTGCCAACCTGAGGAAGGGGTATAGGAAAGGGAACACACAGCTTCCAGTGCATTCCTGCAGCTCGGATGTGTTCCCTTCTTTATTTTTTTTCATAATTGCATAAAACAAGAGTTTTCACTCTAACTGGATGGCCCCTCCCAGTTGCCATCATCACTTGGCCTGTTTCCTCATAAAATCAGGAAATGGAGTGAGTTGTCCTTGATGGATTTTAAGAAGGACAAACGTAGTGAGATGGTCCCGTCTTAAAGAGATGGAGAAATGCATTACACAGTTTCAGCTGGGGAGAAGCTGCGTAATAAAGAGGAAACTCAGGCCCAAGGTCCATAATGTGTCAACTGGCTGCCTCCCCATTTACACCAGCCGCTGTTGTGGCCCACAGCATGATTGTGAAAAGCAGTGGGCCGTTAATAGTTACTTACTGTGTAAATTAGAAACAAAAAGATCTCTTTTTAAAAACAGCATGTCTTAGAAAAAAATTAGAACTTAAAAGGCTTGTCAGGAGAAGGAAGCCAGCATGGCTGCAGAGGAAAAGTTAGGAATGGCTGGCTCACAGGACAGCTAACAGGGGCAGGAGGTTTTATATGTTCTTGGAGAGCAATTTGGTCTGGTTTAAAGATGGATTTTGACACTGTTAAATCTGATCTGAATAATGAAGTGTCATGTTTAATTCATTCACAAATGCAGCCTTACCTGGGTTCCATATGAACAGCTAGAGCATCTTATTAAGTATACAATAGTACAACACTCAGCTAAGTATAACCTAATGGGGTCAGACCAGCAGAGCTCTGAAAGGGGAAATTGTGCCTGTCTAACCTGTTACAGTTCTTTTAAAATACCAAGGAAGAGATAAAGGTTACTCAGAAGCATAATTTGCTTAGCTACTCCGACAGCTTTTGAAAGGGAGGAAAGAAATTGTGGCGGGCGGTTCTAACTGAGGAAATTGATTTAGCAAAAGAATTATTAAGGAGGTTCTAATTAGAGGAAATTAACTGAGGAGAGGGGGGAAAAAAAGAATTGTTAAGGAGGCTCTAATTAGAGGAAATTAATGTTTTAGAGAGAAAGACACAGAGAGGGAGAAGTCTAAGAAAAGAATCAAAACAACTTGCAGACAAGGGAAGCTGCTGGGTGACAGTGCCGACTCCCAGCCAAGCTGGCTGATGTTCTGCTCCCAGTAGCAAAGCGTTATTACATGTAGCAACAGAAAAACCTCCTATGACTCAGCCCTACACCGACAGGGAGCTGGATTAAACAGGGTCCTGTGATCTCTTTGGGGAGCCAAAAGGAAAGAGCATCCTGGATTGAAACTGGCTCACACGACAGGCTCTGAGTGAAGCACGTCCTCACATTTGGGAAGGCAGCTGTCGGGGCTGTGTGGGAGGGGACGCCCCGGTGGCAAGCCAGGGTCTGTGCCAGATACCTCCTCAACAGGATGGTGGCTGGAACGGTGTGCAGGCAGTGCAGGCTGCACCGAGCACAGGGAGCAAAATGTGGAAGGGAAAAATTAACAGCCCTGTGCAATGGAGCACCAACAGCTGCAATTTGCTGCAGCTTCGAAGCTCTTGGTGAACACAAACGATTATCATGGGCACTGGAGAACAGACCTGAGCCCTGAGAGCAGCAACTTGTTGAAATTAGACCTTTTACAAAATCAGCCAGGAAAGAAGTGGGGTGTACAAAAACCTAAGAGGACAAAGTAGACTTGAAAGATTGTAAGATTTCACCAAAAAAAGATAAAGCCAACACACACCTAGGTAATTTAACCAATGATGGAGGATTTGACAGAGGAAAATAGTCTAGCGTGGGCTGGAGCACAAGGAAGCTGATTACTAAGGCTGGGGAAGGAGGAGGGAGGGGGCTTTTTGGCTTAGGGAAGTCTGTGCCCATCATCCATAGCACAATAAATAAAGGCATGCACAAATTCAATCATGTTTTTAATTTTCTATAGTATCAAAAAAAAAAAAAAAAAGGGGAAAAAAAAAAAAGGAAAGCTAAGAAAAGCCAAAAAGAAAAATCTGCCATTCTTTTGGAATTACTTTGCAAGGCTCCAATTTCCTTATAGAATGGTTTTCCAGCTATCAGGAGGGGACCCAGGGCACAGAGACATCCAGTAGCTGTGAGTTGCCCTGCTCAGCATGGCCCTGGGAGTCTCTCTGTCTATGCCCTCCTAGGCTGGCATTAGACTCAGACCAAACCCATGGGCTGAGCTGTGCTGCTCTAGCAGGGAGGACAGAGGCACCAGGGCTGCTGCTAAGCACTCGGGTTGCTTCAAACACCTGAGTGGCTGTGCTGCCTCCTCCTCTCAGGGGGGTTTCGACATTCTCCCCGTCCCAGGAATTTGGTGAAGGAGTTTCATGCTGTCAGCCTCACAGCCAAGTGGGCACTGGGCTTTCCCTCACCTCCTGCCTCCCCTTCCCAGGGAGCAGCAAGTTCCATTCTCCCCCCTGCACATCCCCCTGCCGTGGTGAAGACAAACACACCCCAGGGCAGCAGGACCAGGGCAGTGACCTGTCCCTCTGTGCTGGGCATGGTGAGGCCACTGCTCAGCTCCTGGCGTCAGTTTTGAAAGGTCTGGAGCACAAGTCTGATGAGAGGAAGCTGAGGGAGCTGGGAAAGGGGCTCAGCCTGGAGAAAAGGTGGCTCAGGAGAGACCATATTGCTCTCTACATCTCCCTGGCAGGAGGGTGTGATGAGGTGTGGGTCAGTCTCTTCTCCCAGATAACAAGAAATAGGATACGAGAAAACATACTCTAGTTGTGCCAGGGCAGGTTTAGGTTGTATATTGGGGAGAAATTCTCCATTGGAAGGGTGGTCAGGCTGTGGACCAGGCTGCTCCGGGAAGTGGTGGAGTCACCATCCCTGGAAGTGTTTAAAAGATGTGGAGATGTGGCACCTGGGGAGATGGTTTAATGGAGCTCTTGGCAGTGTTAGATTTACATTTGGACACAATGATCATAAAAGGTCTTTTCCAATCTAAATGATTCTGTGATTCTATCACTCTACTATCCTCATATCTGATGATGGGGACTGGAAATTACGATCTCAGCATTTGTGTCTTGTGGCCTTTGTTTGGAATATAAAAGGAAATCAGGAAGAAGGTTGATTTTTCATTTCTCTGCCTCCAGTTCCTATTCTTCCCCTCCAAATTATGCCACATAAGGAACCATTTTTAGCCTGTATGCTCTTCAGGACAGGGGTTCTGCTACTGTGTGTTTGTACAAGGGCTGGCACTCTGGGGCTTGGTCCTTAACTGAGATTTCTGGATGCTTCTTATTATACATAATAAACAACATTATACACTGCCCATCCTTACCACTGTCTGTCTACGCCTTGTAAGAGGGGTAAAAATTGTCCCCTGGCCCCCTTCTGATGGGGTTACTGGAGCTGGTTAATTTATTTATTTCCAGAGAAAACTATCCTGTTGCAAAGTAGGGGAAAATGTCACTGATATTTCTGATGGGTGGTGGATATTTTTGGGCTTGTTTTTCTTTAAGGAGGGTGGAAGTTGCTTCAAGTCAGTGCTGCTGAGGAGCAGTCTCAGCCATTTGAAGTCATTATCTGTAAAGCAGGAGAAGGCCTCGCTTGTTCCCCTCACTCTGTTGCCATTGTAAATAAAATAACTGATGTTTCCCGCAGTGTCGTGGGGTGGAGGGGGTTTGGCAGTAATATTTGGTGGAGTTTATTTCAGCCTTTCTGTATTTCCATTCATGCTGGTGACTTTTGGAGCGATCACAACCCAAAGGACAGCCCCAGCTCTGGAGGAGGCCTCGCTCAACAGCCGCACTCTTGTCCCTGGGCCCACACAGCCACATCTGTGGCACTTCAACCTTTTAAACATTTTATCCCCCTTTCTTCCCCGCTTTTGAGTGCCAGTGGGGGTGTTGTTATTTACCACTGAGGCACAGGGAGGGAAGGTGCTGCTTTCTGAGTGCCCTGGGGCAGAGGCCCCTGGCTTGGCGCCAGCCCACAGATGGAGCACCTCCACCTCTCCCTGGCACACTGTGCATCCCTCCGGGATTCAGCAGCTCCCAAAATGTTAAAAACATGAGGTCATGAAGGGGGAGGGAAGGGGAGAAGAGAAAGTTATATTAAGTCGTTACTTTTTATATTCCTAATATACATTCATTATAATTTGTCTTCCTCTTAATGCCTCAGATTTGTAGGCCTTGGGAAGACTGAATTGAAGGAGAATGAGAGTGGCCAAAAATGTTCCAAGCTGTGTGCCTCAGGGTAAGGGGGGAGACACCAGCACTCCTGCCTGCATGGGTTGGGATGGGAGCTGCCTCCCCTCATGGAGAAATAGCCCCATCACCCAACACAACCTCTGGCAGCCCATGAAGGGCAGGAGGCACCTGCTGGGAAGGGCTGGGGTAGAACATGCCTTACCTCCCAGTGTTGCCATCAGAGTGGGTGAGGAAACCCAGGAACCCAGGGGAAATGCACTGTTGCCTGCAGACCTCCAATTAAAAAAAAAAAAAAAAAAGGGAAAAAATTATTTCTTCTATTGTTTTATTTTTTAAAGGATTCTGCATGAGAAAATTGACTCAATTTTCTGCCAGGAGGGCTCTCAGGTCTTTCAGGTTGGTTTTCTGTTGTTGTTGATGCTTGACACGATTTTACCCCTCTCTACTTGTTTTTTCCCCTTCTACCCACATCTTCCTTTCTACACAGAAAATGTAAATAATAGAGTCTGGGCCCTCTCTGTCCCAGCCACACTTCTGGCACGATCTGAGCCTCTCTGAGAGTAAGAACAATGCAGGATGGAGGAGAGCTGGGAAGCCTCAATAGTTGCTCTGAGCAGGTCGGCATAGCAACATCTCCAGGGAGAGCGCTCCATGGGGTAATTTCCATTCCCTTTAAAGCCCACTTGGGCTGCTGGAGTGGTATAAAAGGGACTCAGAAAAAGCCTGTTAATTAGTATTAGCAGCTTCAGGAACATCAAGCCACAGTGCTCTGAGGTGAGCCATTTATCTAAGAGAACTCAAGGCTCTTGACTGCCTCCTTCACAAGGCTCAGCATACCACATGTCAAGGCAGACAACTTTGAAATCGGATGGCAGAGCCATCTATGAGGGAAGGGCCCCACCCTGGCTGCTGAATGGCTCTGCAGCCCCTCTCCTGTGCTCACACCATCCTTTGCTGGGCTCAAGAGGCACGGACCCATCTCTTCAACACAAATTGCAAGGGGTGTGAAACCCACAGGGCGTGTGCTGCATGCCCCTGGGTGAGGTTTCGGGATGATGCACGTGCCATGGATGTCTGAAGAGCCCCGAGAGAAAGCAGCCACTGTGGACAGGAGGTGACAGCCATGGGTGTCACCATGCTCTTTCATGGACTCCTTGGAAAAAGAAGGCAGGGACATTTTCACAGCTGCTGGGATATGACTTTTATTCAGTTGCCATAAGGTTCCTGCCTTTCATCATTCTGCTGCATGAAAGGCCCAAGGAAGGTGATAAGTCTGTAAAAATGAAACCCATCTTTGCAGCAGCCTGTATCACACACATGGGCAAAAACAGGCTGTAGGGAAAGGTTGAGTCATTGCCAGGCTGCCATTGGGCTGATTTGCATCTCTGGAGTGTTACTGACCCTGACAAACCTCCTCGGGAACTTTTGCTGCCACCTCCCCTTGCCAAATGTGTGGTGAAACACAGATGTCTCCCTCACATTATTCTGCTTCCCTGGGTGTTTTCACCTCCTCAGGGTAAAACACTACCTGAATCAGAGATGAGCTGAAGGCAGAGCTGCCCATCTGGGACTGGAGTACCAGTTTCCTGGTATAGATCACTCTTCCTGGAGAAATAACTTTAGGTCTGGTCAAAAAATACCCATGGCAGCAATTCAGTCCTTCACACTGCAATCTGGTTTTCAAGATCATGCAGTCCAGGCTGCTGGCAGGCATGCTCTCAGCTGTGCCCATCAGAAAGGAAAAAGTCCTTTGCCATATTGACTGCTGGGCCAGGTTCAGGCAGCTCTGAAACACATTTTAAGGCAGAAAGGGGCCTATAGTCTCCTCCCATTCTAGCCACAGAAACTCCCAGTAACCTCAAAGAATATATATAGCAGCAGAACCTCACCAGGCCAGAAAGACAGGGAATCCCTGCCCAAGAGTTTACAGTCAGCGTCTTGAAAATGCTCAGTATCTGCTGTGGTCCTTGCCATGAGGACATTCCATGAGGAACGTCCTTCACCTCCTGTCACAGCCAGGCCCCCCCAGCATCCAACAGACATCAGGAGCTCAGGGAAGGAAGTCAAGACAAGAAGTGAGAAGGAAATGCTGGAGTGAGGATTTTTAGTCAGCCAGAACTATCACACCTCAAAATAACAGGTACAATAACAATTCTAGGTGACTGAATGTCTGAGTAAGATCACACATTGGCCAAAAAGGTAGAAAAACAGAACTGAAGAATAGTTTGGGCTAGGCGGAATCTTTAAATTCAAACTAGTCCAACCTCCTTGCAACGAGCAGGGAGGAGCAATGTTCATCTAGATCAGGTTGCTCAGAGCCTCAGAACCTGACCTTGGATGTTTTCAGAGATGGGGCTTCTACCTGAGCAGCCTATGCCAGGTTTTCACCACTCTCATTATTAAAAAAATTGTCCTCGTGCCTAGTCTGAACTCACCATCTTTTAGTTTAAAACCATTATTCCTTGTCCCATTTTGGCACTAAACCAAAGAGCAAAAGGAGCTGCACAGCCCCTGTACCCCCTCTGCCCAGCACCACAGGGATATTAAAGCCTAACAGCCGAGTGGAAGAGCATGCTGAGTTCATTCAGGCATTTCTCATTAGTTTCCCATGACTTCTCAATATCCTGCTACTCAATATATTCATCTGGCAGCAAATTAGAGATGAGGGAAAAGCGTCTCTCCCTAAGTCATCCAGAGAACACAAAACGACGAAGCAAAATCATCACAGACAAGGAAACTTCTTGTGAGTCATCATCTTCCCTCCTTCCCCTCTCCCTTTGCAGCACTGCTGACAGCCCCAGGATTGCTCCATGAAGCCTGGAACCAGAAGGTACCATTCCTGCTTTTTTTGGCTTTCAATTCACATAAGAAAAGGAAGAAAGCAGCAATTGGATCTTTGTGTCTCTACTTCAGACACCTTGTACATGCTCTGCTGAGATTGATGGCCCAGTTATGCCAAATCCGTGACATAAATTAACTGTCCCTTTCCCACCATGCCCAATAAGATCTTACCCACCCACCATCCCCAAAAAAAGGAACACCAAACCGACAAAAGAAACAAACCCAAACAAATGGATTCATCAAAGAGAACACCAGAGCAGTTGTGATCGGTGCAGAACAATCCAGGGGTGCTACACATAAAAGGAAGGAAAATGGTCTCATGTCTGCAGAACAAAATAAATGCTTTTGTCAAATCTTCAGATCTGTGTGTTCAAACTGCAAGGCAATTTCAGTGGCATTGGTTTTGCTGTATCCTACCACATATTTCAAATTATAGCTTGATCATCAACTTTCACTGCTCAAAAAGGAAGACAAAAACTTGCTCTAGGCTGCTGTATTTTAAAGAACCATTTCTGATTTCTTTGGCCAAATTTTCAGAACAAATACATTTGTCCTTGAGATACTTTTTATTTGATCTGCATTGATATTCACAAAGTAACCCACTTCTCCCTGGCTGAAGGGACTGAAATGTTTGCTCCAGAGACTTCAGATAAGCCATTAATAAATGTTGCTGGGTTTAGGGGTTATAGGGTCACCATTCCTTGTGGACCTATAGGTGGCCAACATTCCTACAGTGTTTGGCACCTGAATTCAAATTCACTGCCGGTGTATATGTATATATTAGGGGAAAACTTGGCAGGTTGAATTTATCCCCATCTTTCATTAGCTAAAGCAATAGAAATACCTAGTTTGGAACTCTTGGAATCCAGAAGTGCAGAAAACTGAGTTTACACACACCATCCCACCTGTGAAAAGAGGGATGAAGAGAAGTGAGGTCCAGGAAGGGAACACCATGAGCTCAGCTCATCCCTGGTGTCTGCCACCTCCTTTCTGCTCTGTGGCTCCCTACACTGAGGCCACTGCCCTTCAAACTGAAAAATCTATGTTGTGTGATGTGCAAAAACAATTCAAACACACAGGAGGCTGCTCACCTGTTTGTTTCTAAGCCACATCCACACACAAGACCACTTGTTGACACCAAGTACCTCTTGCAGTGACAGCTTTCACCTGCTGATTGTCCCAGCTCCTCTCCAGGGGGGTTGGTTTTTCTAATGACTCTTGAAAATACCAAGCCAGGAGGAGAGACCTGGAGTGCTGGAGCTCTGGAATTTATGGACCATGCTGGCTTTTACCATTTTGGGCCAGCCAGAAGTCCAGGGTCTCCAGGAGCAGTGTCCTAAGGGAGCAGAAATCCATTTGGCTGATACCAGAGTTTGCAGGAAGAAGGGAGAAAAGCAGATGTGACTTTAGAAGAGGTTTTACTCCAGAAGGCAGCTGATGCCTGCAGGTAAGACACCTGACCTCACATGTAGTTCATGACTTTGGATGGAACGAGCACAGAGGGGAAAAAATAAATTAAAAAATAGATTTTCGGCCACCTAAAAATGTGTTGGAACAAAAACAACTTCTCACTGTGATCAGATTCTAGAGCAAAGCCAGAGCTCTCCTCAGAAGATCAGATTCTTTGTTGGTGGCCTAAAACAGCCTCTGTGAGGATAAAGCACAAGGACCTCACTTTCAAGCAATTAAAAGGCCTCCTGACCCCAAGCCACCCATTGCTGTAACATTTCCCAAACCCAGGCCTGGCCCTACACAGTCCCACTGCATGGAGACAGGTGAAAATTGGTCTCCTTCCCCAGCAATCCTACTGTTCTCCCTCACTGGGCCCCAGAAAATGACATTATAGCCATGCTGCATTCAGACATCCACTACAGATGACCCCCAAGGGGTCTCAAGTGAAGAGGAAATAAATAGACAGAGGCACCTTGCTTTTCCCCATACAATCCAGGGCAGCCAGGACACAGCCAAGCTTTTCCTGAACCCTGAAATGGGAGAGGATCCCTGGCAGGACCCTCATCTCCTCATCTCAGGGATGGCTTATTGCATGGGCAGATTATTCTACTGCAAATTTTATCTTAGCTAAAACTGGAAAAAGTAATCAAGGCAAATGTAACAGCTCAGAAGGAATCAGAGTAGGATTAGACATTTATATGAATAAGAATAGCTTCTGCACTTTGACTTGCTGTGATAAAAATAATAAGAACCTCAGTTTTCACGCTCCAGGGCAGAAAAATGATCTCTGAACAAGGTGTTAGAAATAAATTTCCTCTCACAACAGTGGTCCCTAACTGCCCAGGCCACAGCAGAGGATCTAGGGATGTGTGGTAGCCACTGCTAGAGACACAGCTGGCTGGGAGCCCCTGGGCTTGCTCAGGAGCTGCTGCAGCCCCGAGAGCACGAGAGGGGTTGCAGTTTTCAGAAGTAAATGAAGCAAGGCCATCACTCCCTTTTCTCTTTGCATTTCCTTGCTAAATCCCAGTCCACACCAAATGAAGACCAGTGAGTTTGTGCACTGGATTCCAGGGATCACCTCACTTTCTCTGGCATGTTTCACTGCAGAGATGGATCACTGCCACCCCTCGCCTCCTCCTCCTCCTCCCAGGCTGAGCCTTTAAGTGGTAATGGCCTTAGCTGATTAATAAACTGGCTTGAGACTGCTGATCTCTTTGGACCATTAAACCTTTCCCCAGCGACTCCTCATTAATCCCTCCAAAAGTCCTCCTAGATGAGGTTGTTGTTAGCACCATCAATCCTTTTTAAGGCCTCAATTTGCAGAGGAAAGGAGCAGGGAAGTGCGGGAAAGGGTGCATTTGTCAGGGGAGCCATCTGTTCCCCGGGTTATGGGCAGCTAAGGCAGAGCTCAGTGCCTGCTCCCAGGTGAGGGCTGTCCTGAGCAGCACACACCATCCACCACAGGGCAGGACAGCACTGCACCAGGCATCTGGGGGATTAAGGAAGGCCAGGAGAAAAAGCTGGCTTTTTTTTTTTTTTTCCTTAATTGCAGTGCCTTTGGCTGGGGCCAGAAGGTTCCAGCACATGTGGTCACCGATGAGCTCCTGCTGATATCTGCAGAGATGCTTTCAAATAAACAGGTCTGGGACAGCAACCACCCACAGCACTGCTACCTATAGACCTGAGCAATCCTCCTCGTCTTAGCTCCTCTTTCTGATTATTAAAACAGCCACATCTTCGGCCAGAAGACTTGATTTGCCTTAATTCCTCTGGAAAGTGGAATTTCAACCACCCAGACCCTAGCCCCCTCACTTTCAGCCTCTTCCCTCATTGTCAGCACACTACCTCTGATTGTCTTTCCTTAGCTCTTCCAGGACTTTCTCACATCCTTAAATCTCATTACTTTGAGCCATGCTTAGGGGCTTGGAAGGAGGATGGTGGCAGTAGAGGTGCTGAACTGTCCCCACCACTGACTGTGGTAGCATGGAAATCACATTTGCAAAACCACAGCCCAAGGTTTCTGCATTTTAACCTAAAACCTCACAGCTATTTTTTCCCCTCCCCTGTGTCTGAAAAGTTGCAACTTTTGAACTCTGGGTTTTATGTCCATATGAGCTTTTCAAATGAATGTTTTAAGATCAGGATTTATAGATATGAGGTCATATAAGCCTGTCAGCTGGAACCAAGCTACAATTGTGGCTGCACACAGAGCAAACTGTGCCACTGCATATTGCACTGCTGTTAAAAACCCACTGGAGTGGCCACAGAAGGGAGGGGAAGGAGGGAGGGATGATGCTGGTACAAAAACTGTGAACAGCAGTTTCCTTCTGGAGCCACTTGTGGGAGGGATGGCTGCCCAGTGTTCAGGCAACATCAGAGAAAACAGCTTCAAAGCTGAAACTGGTACCCTTGATTTAAGCATGATGCCATTGCTCCCAAAGTGTTGGAACCCAGGGCACAGGGGATGTTCCTCGCCTGTCCTGAGAAGTCCTGACCCCCAGGAGAACACTGCTTTTAACCTTCCTCCATGGAGAAAGTTGCCAAGACTTTGGGAGGGATTGTAATCTACGAGTGTGTGAAATAGACAGTGGCACAGTTTATCACAGCGTGAACAACTCAGAGTTTTGGGGTTTTAGTATGGAGGTGGATAGAAGACAAGATGGAGGATTTTGGGCATTGTCTGATCTCCTTCTTACTCTTCATCTGCTCCATTTTCTGCAGTGTTGGGGGCACAGGGTGACTGGTTAGAAAGAGCCCCAATGCAGATGTTGTGTGAACAGACAAATAATTAGTTATTGGTAGAAAGGTAGAAAAAAAAATACATTCCAAGAGTTAAGTGGACAAAATAGTTTTAAAAGACCTTGAACCTGTGTGTCTTGTGACTTTTTTGGTGCCTTTCCCTTTGTGTGCTAAGTCTGGTATGTAGACAGCGTGCTGAACTGCTGATAAAGAGAAAAATAAACAACAACCTGAAGACCAAAAAACCAAAAGTTCGGTTTGTCTCTCAGTCCTGGCACAGAACTTTTTAGAGGTGTCCCCATCAGGGGATCCTGGGGGGGTTCACACCAAATCATGTCCAAGAGGGGCAATGAGAGGGAAAACCCCTGGCATGGAACAGCCTGGAAAAGGATTTCCCCGTGCTTGGCCAAAGAGCTGATCAGTGCTCTGCTCCTGATTAGACTTCCCACGTCTCTGTGCTTCATTGCCAGCTATGATTTGGAAATGACCGTATCAGTTCTGTGATGTTGGAGTTCTGGGTGTTGAGAATTTTAGACTTTTTTTGCTAACAAACTCTAACTCCCAAGAAAACACTACATTTAGCCTAAAACCATAGAGAAAACTTCCAAAGTTAATTAATAACACTAAGATTACAAGTGTGTAGTTAATTAAAAGTGTGTAATATCACAAAGTAGAAAACTTAAAGTTTTGGAATATAATAATATATAAAACTAAAATAAAAATTTTAAAGCAGTAACTAATATTTCCTCTTCACCTTCTTCTTCATAAATTTAAGTAATTTTTTGTAATTAAACAAAAAAGTCCACATTACAAACTTTGAGTAATTAATTATTAAATTAAAAATAAAAAGAATTTAAGTATCATTTCTTAATTAAATTATCTGACCTTAAAAAACCTTATTTTAAAAAATAGTAAACCATTTTATAACTTATTAGTAAAATACTATAAAACTCACAACTTATAAATAAAAGATAATAAGCACCTAAATCTAAACACAAACAATTGTATCAAATACCTTCAATCCCAATCTCAACAAGAAAAAAAAAAAAAAAACACACAAAAAAAACCCAAAAGAACCAGTGTGAGCTTCTTCTGCCACAGAACACATGTTACCATTAACAAGCAAAACCTCTCCACATCCTTATCAGAGGGCTGGATCTGTTCCTTCACAGCCAGCACAGCCCATGTCCTGCATGAATGAATCACCAGGTGAATGTGAACAGGAGTTTTCAGAGGCCATGGTGGCTTTGGCAATGGTTTGGTTGGTTCTGAGCTCACCATGTATAGCCAGCAACAGCTGGACTCCACGGGGGGAAAAAGGAAACAACCACACACACATGCAAAAATCATCAGTCAGGCTCCTTTTAAATGATTAATGCAGTGCACGAAGAAAGGCTTTTCAGCTCTCAAATCTTCACATGATTATATAAACCTTAACTCCTTGCAGCTTCCGAGGACCTGTGTTTGTTTGTGGGCATTAACAGCTGCTGTGGTGCTATAAATAGAGCAGAGAGTGAGGATCTCATGGGGAAACAGAAGAAACCCCAAATTGCTCAAGTCATTTAAACATTCAGGGAGATAAAACACTGCAGAGAGGTTCTGGAGTGAGCAGTGCTCAAGGGAGGGAGGGGTTACAGCCACCACAAAAGTCGTTTCTGCTCTCCTGGGTCCATACTATTAATTATGGTTATTAATTATTTATGATGTTGCATATAAATAAGTAATAATTAGTGAAATAATCACCTCAGACACTGAAATCATAGAATCACAGAATTATTTGGGTTGGGAGGGACCTTAAAGATGATCTAGTCCAACCCCTCTGCCATGGGCAGGGACACTTTTCACCAGACCAGGTTGCTCCAAGCCCCATCCAGCCTGGCCTTGAATGCTTCCAGGGATGGGACAGCCACAGCTTCTCTGGGCACCCTGTGCCAGGGCTTCACCACCCTCACAGGGAACAATTTCTTCCTCAAATCTAATCTAAACCTGCCCTCTGTCAGTTTAAAGCCATTACCCTTTGTCCCATCACTAAAAATCCTTGTCCAAATTCCCTCTCAAGCTCTTTTGGAGCCCCTTTAGTCTCCCTTGAGCGCTCCCTTCTCCAGGCTGACCAATGTGGTCCTACTCCCTGTTCCCCAGCCCTCTCTCTGTCCAGGGAGAACCTCCATGTGACCCCAAACTCATCCCTTGAGGATGGCTTCCCCCAAATCCACTGCCCATTTCTGTGCTGGTGACCCCCATGGGCTGTCCCAGGAGTGCTCACATTTGCAGCAGGATGCTGTGATTTCTCCCTCTCTTCTCCCTGGCTGTGGACACCACGGCCCAAGAGACATCTGAGAATGGAGGACATTGCACTGATCTGAGAGGTTTTGTTTCATCTTATAGGGCTTCACAATCAATTACCTTCCTCAGTGAGGAGTGACCGCACAGAGGCCACTTCCCATCCCACAGCCTCCCACCTCCATCCACCCATCAGGTAAATCAGGAGGACAGGAGTGCCCAACCCCCCTCCAGCCCCTCACCTCTCCATCCCATCAACTGGCACCTCATGCACAAGGATTCAACTCCACCAAAATTTAACATATTTTGCAATGCCCACACCCTGAAGAAACACCGGCCAACTCACACCATCAAAGAAACAACACTGAAACCCAAGAGTCAGCTCTCCTTCTCCACATCCAGCCTCTCTCCCCCTGCCAGGCAGGTCCCAGCTGCTGCTCACAACACCCAGGCCCTGGGGGTGACCCGGCAGGTGACACTGCCCAGCCTCCTGGGGACTTGCGTAATGGGGAAGTGTCAGAGATTAGAGACAAGAGAGCAGCGGCTGCAATATAAAAGCAAACTGAATAATTAAAGAGAGGAGCTGTTCCTCGCAGAGAACAAAATGAAAGAGTTGTGTGATTTGAGCAGAAGTGACCTTTACACTTCATTACAAGGAGGTGGCGTCCTTATAGGGTTATTAATATTTCCAGCTGAATTAGCTTGGGTTAAAAATGGCTCAAAGGAATGAAGAAGGGAGGGAGAGTGAACAAAAATATATCATTCTGTCTTTTTCTCCTCCTCTTTGCTTTTTACTTTTCTCTTTTTTTTTATTATTTTTAATTTGTTGACTTGAAAGCAGAAGGGGCTGAGTGGCCATCAGAAACAAGGCTTCATTAGAAACAGGGAGAGCTGCAGGGTGAGCTGGCTGAGGGATCTTCCCTCCACCCTGGCTGTGCTTCAGAAGAAGCCTGTGGTGCCTCTGTGCCTGTTTCCACATTCACACCCAGGGCACAGAGGGGGTTGTCACTCACCGAGCTGCAGAGACGTCACAGAACTGTCATTCAGGTGGCTTTGAGCCAGCAGTGGAGCTCTGACATGGAGTCAGTAGGATCTTCTAGAGCAGACATGCTCCTGTGGTTACTGCTCACCACCCTGTGGGCCAAATTATTCCCCCTGCCCCAAAACATCAGTGTGGAAATGGACAACGCTGCTCAGCACATGTGAACCCAGCCTGACACAAAGGACAGACAAACACCCTCCCTCCCAAACAGAGGCAGAGCCACGGCCTCCATCAAGGCTATTTTAGCAGAGGGCAGACCACAGAAATCCCGCAGAAAATAGAGCTGCTTCAGTTCTGTAGTTTCATCCAGAAGTTCATACACAAAGGAAAGGACCTTCACCTCAGCATGTCCCAGCAGGTGCAGCCCCACACAGCCCCACAAAACCATGACTGCCAATAAAGCACTGGGTGAATTAAATGAGTGAAGTTAAGATCAGCAACCTGAACCTAAATCCAAGCTGCGATTTTGCTGCTCAGAGCCTCGAGGTGAACACAGTTGTGCTTTTTGCTCTGATCACTCAGTCTCATTTTAGTCCCATCACTGAGATGCAAAAGTGTTGTTACCTTGATAACGCAGCCAGACACCTGCTTGTTTCTCCACAAGCCTGGCCTGAACAATTTCATTTACTGCCTCTCTCTGCCCAGCAATAACAGGCATCAGGAAAACCCACCAGAGCAAACAGAAGGGGAGAGAAACATGAAAGCAGGTGCACATCAGTAAGGAGAGAGGGTGCTGTGCTGGAGCCTGCAGGCACTCCCTGGGCTGCATTGTTCCCACAGGGCTCCTTCCACAGCACCCTCCCCACCCTGCCATCAGGTCACCTTTCCCCTGCTCTGCTTGTGGAGGGGGCTCTGCAAATGTAATGCAAAACCACAAATCAAATAAAGACTCGAGGCTTTTGAAGTGATCATGAAATGGACACTGTGGCAGCTGCTTCTCCTCCAGTGGCTGCTGAATCACAGCCCCTCACTTATTTATAGGCCTCCCCAGGGTGCTCGCAGGCGAGTCGATGACAAATGCCAAAGAACATCCACCCTCACCCCCACAAGGTGTTGTTATCCTGGCTGCAAAGGAGATGCAGAGCGAGGAAACAGCACCCTGGCAGCTGTGCCAGACGGGTGGAGGCAGGCAGAGCACCCCAGACACCTCACCCACCAGCCAGTGCCTCCAGCACTGTCACCTGAGAGCTGCTCCCAGCAAAGGCTCTCACCCTCCAGGGTGTAGCCCATGTCTATTTCTAATTCCCACAGTTTTTAGGGGGAATTTACTAATTCCCATTGGGTTTTGATGCCATCTTCACTTTGACTTTACACTGTGACCACTGTAAAGAGCACAGTGGTGCTCAGAGCAGATTTATCCAGGCTCTGAACTGATTCCAGGGACGGAAGCCAGGATGCTGATGCTCCAGAGGGAGAAGCAGAAGTAGATGCTGAAACCCAAAGTTTTCCCCTTATTGCTGGAGGCTCTTGCACATGGGCCAGGCATTGAACAGCTCCAAGGGCAAGAGAGGGAAAAATTCAGACTTAATATGGCCTTGGTGCTAGGAAAAGGCATGAATGTGAGGTGAGAGGAAGGAAAAGACTGAAAAGCCCCCAGGCTGGGTCAGGGAGGTAGGAATACCTCTCAAGGAAAGCAAAGGTGAACAGTACTACCTTGTTCTAGCCTTAAGAGCATCCCTAGCAGGTGATCTCCACCAGGGCTCTGCTCCAGAGGGAAGAAATCATTTCCTTTGCCATAGTGCCAGGGAGCTCTCTCTGGGTGCATCCACAAACTCTGTACAGCTGACAAAAGTAGGAGTCAGGCAGCAGGATCTCCATTATCAGAGATGATTCACAGGCCACAGAGATCACAGCTTGCCTTGTAGATGTCACTGGGACCTGGCAGTCCAGGAAAAGCATCTTATTTATAAACTGGGACGAATTATGACTGCTGAGGTATAGCCCACACGGGAGCTGCTGCCTGCTTTCCGGAATAGAATGACTCTTTAAATGATCCATGAGGCTGCAGGGCCCCTCCCCAGGGCTCTGTAGCTGGGAAAGGGCCCCTGGGCAGGTGTGCAGAGCCCTGTCTCTCACAGCCAGACCAGGGCTTTCACAGCCTTCCTGGTGTTAGTTGCACTGGGCTGCTGTAGCTGGTTTTTAATTCAAGTCATCATTCATAGATTAAATCTGAAGTGGCTCTTTGGACTAGACTTGTTTTCTGTGAAAACTGTCACATAGGCTGAAAAAGCAATGGGATTTACAGGGAACAGCCAGGAACTTGCTCTGGTGCAATTCCAGGTGGCCCCAGGAAAGCCAGTGAGCTGCTCTGCCAGGGAAGCTGGGATTGCTGTGGAGTTTCTGGGATGAAATCTCTGAGGTCTGATTTAGGGCTGAGCTCACAGTGAGGCCAGCAGGACCACTGATAAAGTCTCTGCCTCGATTTTTCAGTTTCCTGATGTACACAGTTCCAGGTCTAGGTGGAATTAGCTGATGGCATAAAACGCTTTTGAAGCATGAGCTGGAGTCACAGACATAAAGGTCATCTAGGTTTTGTTTTCTTTGTTTCAACTTTCTTTAGCCAAACCCATGACTGATCTGAAAGGACTTGAGGCAGCAGCAGTCCCACATACCTGGCAGAGATCCACTGGGAAATGCAGTGGAGCAGTGGGGAAAGAGGAAAGAGTGAGGAAGAGAAGCGGTGCAGAAGAGTCCTTGCTAATCTCAACAAGCAAGTCCCACTTTAACTCCACTAACACAGAAAGCAGTAACAGCAGTAGCTCATCATCATCATACTGTGACACGAAATTTATCTTTTTTCATTGCTTTCACAGCAATTTTGCACTGTGTTTGATAGCTGATGTGCATATCCAAATTCATGCAGCCCCACCACCCCTCTCCCTCTGCCTACTCACGCTCACCCACGCTCTTCTGCGTGTGACTCAGGATGAAAAGGGATTTAGAAAGACGCAGGGAACGTTTACAAGCCACCCACCCTTTCACCCCCAGCCTGGATGGCCACATTAGCACGTCCAGGTTGCATTTGAAGGCAAACCCCTGGGAAAAGCTTTTCTTCTGTCCTCTGCACAATCAGGCACAGAGCAAAGCTGCACAGCTCTGCCTCGGTGTTTACTGCTGGCTGGGCTCGCTTTAAAACACGGCAAAATTCCCAACTTCTTGCTCAATGCCTTGTCCATGTTTGGGTCCAGGAGTGGTCACTGCAGCAGACCCCAGAGATCTCCCCTCACCAGAAGGAGGTCACTCGGTCACCCTGCAGTGTAGGAGGGTGGGAGACTTTTGCACAGCAGCCACAGTCTGCCCCGTTCAGGAGCACCAGCAAAAACGGGATTGTGTGGAAGTCTGGGGCTTTTTCTGGGCTGGTTGGGCTCAGTGTGGAGGCTTTGCCTGGGAATTCTCCACTAAAATCTCTGCAGCGTGAGGGCACTGGTGCAGGTGCCACCAGCACAAAACCAGCAGCAAAAAAATCCCCCAGCAGCATCTGCCAGGGACTGACAGGGACAAACTAAGCAGATCTGGGTGACAAACCAAAGCCACTCTCCCCCCTTAACAGTGGTGCTGAGAAGCCATTTAGGGGAGTGTGTCACCACTAACATCATCCTGTTTCCATGGAGACCAGATTAACAGAACTGTTGAGAGAAACTGCACTCCTAATCTCTCCCTGAGAAAAGAGCTTGCTGATACAAGAGACTTTTAAACATCTTTAATCCAAATTCAGGGTTTTCCTTTCCATGTTCCCCCTAATCCTTCTGGAGGTTACCGGCCCCCTTCAGCCCTGAGCCCAGCACTGCAGGCACCCACAGCCTCTGCAGTCCCTTGCTAATATAAAATTTGCTATCTCTCTCTCCAAAATTTGGCTGCCTTAAAAATAGCAATTTTACCAGGCCATCATGTGCAAAGGTCCTGAAAAAATGATGTCTTCATTGGTGCACTCAGCCTATTTTCAGGAATGGAATTAGACCCTGAGGACAGGGATGGAGGCAACTTCTTCCATCGACTTTTGCACAGCAGCCACAGTCTGCCCCGTTCAGGAGCACCAGCAAAAACGGGATTGTGTGGAAGTCTGGGGCTTTTTCTGGGCTGGTTGGGCTCGGTGTGGAGGCTTTGCCTCGGAATTCTCCAGTAAAATCTCTGCAGCGTGAGGGCACTGGTGCAGGTGCCACCAGCACAAAACCAGCAGCAAAAACATGCCCCAGCAGCATCTGCCAGGGACTGACAGGGGACAAACTAAGCAGATCTGGGTGACAAACCAAAGCCACTCTCCCCCCTTAACAGTGGTGCTGAGAAGCCATTTAGGGGAGTGTGTCACCACTAACATCATCCTGTTTCCATGGAGACCAGATTAACAGAACTGTTGAGAGAAACTGCACTCCTAATCTCTCCCTG